CAGACCTATTATCGAACCTTTGTTGGTCTATCCAACCGCCACAACATCGTTATCTGAACTTGGCAACGTTTTTGCAGGAAGAATGGTATAATATTCCCTTGGCAAACATACAGGAACTGTATTAATCCATTCCGAGAAGACTGCAAGCTGTTTTGGATGCCAAAGGGTTTCCTACACCATATTAAGCAAATAAACATGTTTTTTTAAAGGTGTTTCCATATTTTTGTCCAACCCCTGTAAATCTTACACACTTATTTCCTCGAAAAAATTCCAGAAAGGATTAAGCATGATTTAATTGGCAATAATAAATGAAGGCGTTATCTTTGTCGTTGCGAAACTAAGTTTCCCTAGATTGGCAACAAATCCACTAGGCTGCTGTTTCAAATGTAAACAATCAATGGCCGCCATAAAAAAAGAGCTTAGCGGCACTTAAACAACTTTCTAAAAAAATATTGCATAGAGATTTACTAAAGGTAAAAACCTTAACCGGAAGATAAAACAACAACATTGTACCAATTTAACAAAATATAAGAGTAAAGAAGAGAGATCACTGAGCCGGGTAACAATATATATCTAAATATATTATATCGTTTGGTGCGACCGATTGCAACCAAATACGAGGTGCACATCTACATGTTATGCAGTCCTATATACAAAATTTCAACGTTCTGAGGCTACTCGTTTTTGAGTTATGCGAGATACGTACGTACATACGTTCGTCAAGACGCCACGAAAATTTCTCTTCAGAATGCATTTTAAAGCAGTTTTATAATTTTTTGGAAAGAAAAGAGTCTTTTATTCTGTCCTTACGTACAGATATCGCGCAAAAACATCGTTAAATTGCGTTCGATAGCGGTCAAAATGGATATTTTCGTTGAAATATGCTGCCTGAATCTTTTTGCGATTACAATACTTCCTTTTTACTTCGTACAAGGAAGTAAAAATGGCAAAAACTCACAGGGGGGGGGAATCACTCGATTAAAAAAATAACCACCACATAAGAACATTCGGTACTACTTTGGTAGATGGTTGCACGGATTTTTGGCGATTTACGTTGGCGCAATTGTTGGCGCGGTTCTTACAGTCAGCCATCTCAAAAAATGCTGGTTTTAAGTATTTCACGCAAAGTAAAGTATTCAAACTTTAAAAAAATAATATCGTTAAATAATTAATTTTTTTTGAAAATGTTGTTTTTTTAAGATGGCTGGAAAATGAAATAAATACATTTACTAAGAGTATAAAATGCTAAAGTAAGGTTAAATTATTACTTTCATATAATAGAATAAAAACACCGCTATAAAAACATTGCGCCAACATTTAATTGGAATAAAATATTATTTAAACTGAATATTAAATTAAAAACATTATACCAACGTTTAAAAGAATTAAAATTTTTCAATTACTTAAATTCAAATCCTTTAAAATAAGTTAATAGGATATAATTACGATCTTCATGTGTTATCCACATCTCTCGCACTTCATTGAAGAAGCAATTAGCGAGGTTTCCTCCAAAAATTTAAAATAAATTTCCTCTTACCCTTGCAACAATAAATAAATCTTTGATTAGGAAAGCCAGGTTGGCGGCCAAAATAAGGTCTAAAAGGGCAATTCTTTTATTCCGATACCAATAATTCTTGGGTAATTACCAATAACAACACTCATCTTCGAAACGGACATATCTATTCGCTTTGAAATCTGAGGAATTCGAAGAGATGAATAATAAAATTTTAAATTGGCGCGGTAATGCACAAATATTCAGTAACCAATCAGGGAGCTGATTACATCACGCATAGAATTAAAATTATTTAAATAATCATTCATAATAAAATCACATTTAAAAAATGCAAGATTAAATTGTATTTTAATATTTAACACCCATAAATAATGTTTAAAACATTAGATTAAATTTATAGACATCAAAGCAATTTTAAAATAATGTGACGTCATTCATTACATCATTCACAACATAAAAATCCATAAAATATCATAAACAATAAAATTTTTATTTCAAAAAACTGCATAATTAAATTCATTTGTATTATTTAAAAGTCATAAATAATATTTAATACACGGAATTTATGCATAATAAAAGGCATTATTTTTTAAATAAAATGACAACAAAGTATCGGTTACCATAAATAACTTGTCCAGCAATGGGTTTACCATAAGTCGTATCGCTCGCCAAAAAGAAATCGCCAAAAAATCGCCAAAATCCGTGCAACCGTCTACCAAAGTAGCACCGAATATTCAAACCGCAACAGAACTGCTCAAATTAGCAAATAAAAATTTAAAAAAAAAAAAAAAAAGGAAATCTTTCAGATTTTACATTATTCCCAAAGGGGGTGTTTTTTTAACGTTTTGTGTGTCACCCTTATCAAATATCATGTTCTTTACACTTAAACCATAAAATTCAGTTCAACAGCAACATCGCAAAATAATTTTAAAATGAGCATAGCTTTAAATTTCCGATACATAGTTTTGCGCTCTACACATAAAAATGTTCCCCCCCCCCCACGTATTGTGTTGTCGTTGCTCGCTTTGAAATCTTTGAGTTTGTTAATCAAAAACTCCTTTAGTTTTACAAAATATGAATCAGATAATAAAAAAATTCCAAATTTTAAGTTTGGGCTTCCAGATGCTCATATTAGGTTGGAAACGTACGTTATTCAAAATTTGATAGCTCTAGGTACCGTTGCTTTATCACAATGCGAGAAACATTTATGCAGATTTTTCAATATTTAATTTCTTTAAATATAACACAGGGCGATTACATTTAGTGGCAACAGAATAACAACACAGCTTCAAAACATCGGGTTAGCCATCTTTTCACGTTTATTGCCCATTGAAAAACAATCGCCAAGCAGTGGGCTAAACCGCATTTCAACCGTGCCTCCTATTCCTGAACTTCTCTGGTGGAGTTTTAATAGATAAAAGCAAGGACCTTGAATTTATGCCGGCAACATTTAACCTTTTACACGCCAATGTTCCATAAATGGAACATCGAATTTAAAATTTCATAAACAACACAATTTTATTAATATTGCTTTGTATAAATTATTACATGGAGAGCAAATAGGGATTGATGTTTTAGTAGCAATAAAATTCTTCTAAAAGAAAAATTATCTTGATAAAAAAATTCATTATTTCACCTTTTTTCCTTCTTTTCTAAGAGCAAAATTCAGAAATTCATATAAAATTAAAAATTTAAAAAAAATTTAACTCAATGAGGATATTTAAAAAGGATCATTTTATGCATTGACAGTAAGTTATCATAGAAAGATGATTATTATTTTTTACTATGAGGTAAGAAATATGGATGTTCCAGAAAGGGAACATTGGCGTGTAAAGGTATATTTTTTAACACGATGAAATTACTTTGATTGCCGTGAATAGAGGCACAGAGAAAGATTTTCCAAATGTGAAAAGTTCCAGTAAGTGTGGAAAACAAATGTTTATGACTGTTAATCTGTTTTTGACTCCCATATAACCCCCTTCTCTCCTTTCACACATTCCCATAAGGGTTTGAAGTGAGAGCCACAGCTGCTAGAGAAAAGCACGTGGAGTTTCTTGATAGGCTTGACGCTAGATGTTGTTTATGACTCAGTGAAAAAGGTGTATATTTTGGAGTGTGGATTTCATTATTTTCCCACTGTTTGCATTTTTTCAGTTTGCATTTTTTTTTTTTTTAAGATACACTACGCTGATAAGATGGCTCATTCAAAACCATTTCAGACTATTAAAGAAGCATTGGAATATTTGCATACATTATCAGATGATGAAGAGTGTATTGATATTTGTCAACTGCCTTGCCTCCAGAAGTAACTGGTTGTTTGACAGATGAGAAATATGTAAATGAAGATATTTTTGAGCTGTTCTGCCAGCGGATGTATGTGGAAAAATCGAAATTTCTAATAAAATAGATGATGATGAAATATCTCAAGAAATTTCATTCGATCCTCAAGAACCTTCATCTTCAAAGGGAAGCAAGAACTTGAAGCAAAATCTAAATGCGAAAGAGAAAAACATTGAACATCGGTGGGGGGAAAATTTAAATTTTAACAAAATTCTAAAAACTGGCAGCATTGAAAATATTTGCGGTTTTCCTGAACTAGTTACTTTATCTCCAGTTGAGATTTTTCACAAGTTCCTAACTAGAGAATATTTGCTGCATTTAGCAAATATGACAGGTCTTTACGTAATGCAGAAAGGAGAAATTTTAGCTGTAGATGAAAACGATATTGGACAGTTTTTTGGATTACTGTTGTTTAGTGGGTATCGACGAGTACCCGGCGAAGATTTATACTAGAGCACTCAAGAAGATTTATCTGTCCCAGTAATTTCTTCTGTAATGCCAAGAAATAGATTTCGAAAACTGAAAAAATATTTTCATATTATAGATAATAACAAGTTCGCATTAGGAGATAAAGCAGGAAACGTTTCTCCTTTTTATGAAGAACTAGAAAAAAAAAACTTTCAACAGTTCGGCATCTTCCATTCCCGCAGTGTGAATTTTTATATGGAGATTATTTGTTACTTATTTCTACAACTCTTTTCCTAGTTTCAGTATAAACTGCTAACAATTAATGTAAAATTCTTTTATAAATTCTTGCTTATCAACTATGTAATTTTTGTGTCAATTTATTACGAAAGCTTTTTTTCTGTGGAAGTTTCATATCTTCTCCCAAGAAATTGCGGTGGAGTAGCTTTGCGGTTATAAAGGTGTAGGCTCTCTATTTTTCTGCTTAATCTATGTTACTTCCGAATAACGTTGACAAATTCACTTGCTAATGCTGAAAAAGTACAGACAAATGAAGCTTCGAATTAGAATGTTGATAATCATGTTTTACAAAATTCATGTAAAAAAAACTAACTATGTTTCCCGCCAATGTTCCATTTATGGAACATATCATAAATCATTAAAAAAAATTTTTTTTAATTTTTTATTCTTTTTTCATAATTCTTATATTTGAGTTTTAAATCGAGTTTTCACAACAAAACGTTTATTTTACTTTCATATCATCGTTTGGCATGTAAAAGGTTAATAGCGAAAAAAATATGCCCATAGGCCATCGGTTTGATATTCTGGTCACAGAATAAGTGCCACCCATTTCGTCGACTATATCAACTGCTCCTTTTATCATGTTATGAAACGTAATTACTTCAGGTTTCTTCAAATCTCCCGTGCTTTCATCAATATGGTCATCACTGTGCATAGTTGACAAAAGGTTAACACACTTGTTCTTTTCAGCCATATAAGAAAGTAGCATTATATCCTTTTGAAAACCCAAGAGAGTTGAATGCTGTTCTCTATTCTTATTCAACACAAAATCAGGTGTGTTTAATCTTCTTATCCTTGCATACTGTTCCAACGATAGAAATTTTATTTTTCTGTAAGAAATTGCCCAATTCATGACTGGTATACCAACTGTTTCTGTGGTAACGTTTCTTCCAGAATTGTATAATGGACCTAGGATGCGCTTTGCTTTTTCACAAAAACTGTTAACTTTCTTGTATGGCCCATCTGGCTGCTGACCTGAGTAAATTTCCATGTTGAAAGTATAGAAGGTTAAAATCAACTACAGTAAATATCTTTATACCATATCTTGCAGGTTTCTTAGGCATATACTGCCAAAAGGAGCATCGTCCTCAAAAAGGTTCTAGCTTTTCGTTCAAAGTCACGTATTCCCCTACATGATATAATGTCTGACAATTCTGCACAAAATTTAAAAAAAAAATCTCTTATTGGAGCTAATTTATCACTCTTTCTTCTGCCATCCCGTGTTCCAACATCATCGAATCGAAAGGTACGAAGAATGAAAAGAAAACGCTTATAATTCATTTGTTTTACGAAAAACATATCCTGTCCCGTCAGTCGCCCATAATTCTCTAACATTTACATGGGAGGATTTGTGCAATCCAGCTATGCATAAGAGTCCTAAGAAAGCAAGAAACTCTTCTTTCTCCACAGGTTTTCGAAAGGGTTCTTTTTTCCATTTTGTTGTTTATCTTTTCCTACAAAATAGTCACTTTTATCACAAGGAATGTCTTCTGAAGAGTCGCACTCTTTTTCTGATTCAGACTGATGATCACTAAATATATTGTCAAGTATTTTGCAGTAATTGACAAAATAACAGATGATCTTAATAAAACATAAATTTTATTTTTAGTTTACGGAGATAGATAATTTGAATAAAATTCTTTAGGGGCAAAATTTTCATACAACTTCTAGCTGGTAAAACTTCCGAATTCTCATTTTAAACAATTTCTTGCGCTGCTGAGCGAGCAACAGTTACATCATACAAATATGGCACTGCCACTTCAATAATAAATATATATTTATTTGTTAAATAACAAAATATTACAATATCTTCATTATCTGAATCTTGTAAGAAAGTCCATCTCTGAAAAGATGTCTGGAAACATAAGAAATGATGTTCTGCGAATTTACCTTAAAATGGACATAATTCAGTGCTGTATACATTAGTGCAATTTTCTCTCTAAAGCAATATTCTCATTTCCATTTATGAAATAACCAATGCTGTTGACAAATTAATATGTACCCTAGGATAATTCCAGTTCCAGGATATCTTTGAAATTATTTCTCCTTATAACAGATGTAGGAAAAACCAGCAGTTCCAGTATTTTAGACGTCGCATCAGGCCTGATGAAATTAAACATGAAAACATCATTTTCTTCTGAATGATGCAGCCATACCTATGAAAAAGGCAGATGAAACACTCAAAATGTTGTATCTGAAATGAGTCGTAAATGCTTTGCGTGAAAAGTTCATGAATTGTTGCCAGATGTTGACAAACCTATTTGTATTTCAAGAAAGCTATTTTTAAATCTCTGTTATAGTCAGAGTCTTTGGAGATACTGCAGCTGATATATTAGTTTTGACAAAGTGTTATGGTCAAGTGAGACTGTTATTATGCCAAGCAGTAATAACTTTCGGGGGCATGACAGTGTGGCGGCCCAAGATACTGAATACTGAAGATTCAAACTTGGGTCAAACTACCAGTATTCAGCAATTGTATTGCTCAACTGCTTGTGAACTTGAACAAAAGTTTGAATATTTTGTTAGTGAAACCCATGACGTAAGAAAATCGGAAAGTTTTCAAGATTAAAACATGGTCAATTTTGTTTTGAATCCCATGATTCTCACATGTTTTAAATATACTCCTGCCACACGGATAGAGGCGGAATGATCATTATCCTGCTTACAACAGATACATCATGTCAATGTAGAATCTAAAGGAAAGTTTAGGTTATTCGAATATGGCAAAGAATACCGTCTATCGACCTTAAGAAAGATGCCTTTTTGAACAACTTTCTAAGGGAACTGGCTTGTATTTGCATTACATATGAGGAAAACTAGAAAAGTCAACCATGCAGCCAGCCCTTTAACCATGATATGAAACCAGATCAAACTATCAGTATTCAATGGTCTTAACGAGTTGCAGGAAAAATCTGAAGAAAATTCTTGCAATATCATGTAACCAGAAATTAACTATGTGTTGCATAGCAGGATTACTTTTTCAAGTGTCGAAGTAGAGAATACTTTTTTTTGTTTCTTTTTCTTTATATAGGTATTTAGCCATGGTATTCATTACATATATTCTCTGTCATTCATACAGAATACTAATATTTTTAATAAAAGTGTCTTTTTCATTAAGTGCTTTGCTTGTCGATATTCTCCAAATTATGTTTAATACTTAGTGCTACTGTACATATAATAGATATATACTACATAATACATTTAAAACATTCATTTTACACCAGCAATTTTTCAAAGTTGTTTTTTGAATTTACTCGCTGATAGCTTAAAATATTTTATTTTGAAACAAATGCCTTTTTCATAATAAATTTGACAGTGCCAAGAATCTTCAATTATATTCAAATCCTTTAAAGTAGCATTATAAATAAAACTTAGAATAAACATTATACATCTTGTTATCTTTCAAGATTCATTCAAGCTTTGATTAATTACTCAAAACAGTGGTTTATTAACTTTGATGATCCTGGGAATACGTAAAAGTATTTTGTCATCTCAGACAACCAATAATAATTTTTATTTCATTCTAATCATCTATTGTATGTAAACACCTAGCATCCTCTGAAAAGTATTTGTTTAAAATGCATTAAAAATATATCAATTTTTTAAGCACGAAAACTGATTTAATTCTTATTATTTTAGGTAAAAATAACAGTAATAAAAATAAAAACATAATTTTTTAAAGCGTATATTATTGCGGCCCACGTTAATCGTAATATTTTATTAGCCGTATGGTTCTGCGTGTTTAAGACTTTTAAAAATTACGTAAGAACACAGCCATACTATTCTAAACAGCCGTGTTATATCGTGGCTATTCAGCCCCCTCCGATTTTCACCATTTCATCCGTCCGGTAGTGACGCACCGCTAGCCAGCGGTAAAACGGAGCCCCGAACAAACGAGAAATATTTTTGTCTAAAAGCGAACTAGGTTGCTACCTCCGACAAACCGATTCGCCGGGTTACCAGCTTTGAACTTTTATCGCCATTTTTGGCAGTGGTGCTATTATTTAACTCTTTCGCATCGAAGTCGCCCGTAACGCCCTGTTCATTCAGGCAACGGCAAACCGCCCCAACGCCTCGTTTATTTTCCACCTAGTGCTTTTCCCCTCCACGTTAGTGTATGATTCATTGGTTTCGCGAGTTGTTAAGACCCATGTCAATCATTATTTTGAAGCAACTAAAGGAGACATACGGAAAGCTATTAACGTTCGCAGGTGCAATCCGGCTCTAAGGTGAAACTGCACACAATGGAAAGAAACCGCTGAAAAACCCCCAAGAGAGAAACAGTCATTTCACTTAAGTAGGTTATGTGTAATGCTGTAGCTATTTACCAGGCAGGGGGAAAGGAAAACTATTCCAAGACAAATTCGTAAACACGGGCGTTTTCGATGTTTGATGAAAACAGATTTGGTCGTCTCTCGATGCGAAAGAGTTAACGGATCCTTTGCGGAAGTGCTTCCTTTATAATACAATATATTTTACAATGATAAGACAAAATCCAATGTGTAAAGTTATGTGAAGATTACGATAGTATTCGTATAATCCTATAACCAGATAATAATATTAAAATAAATTTTATCTGAATGAAGTTTTCTTATTACAGGAACAGTCAAATTATGCAAGTGCATAAACGAATGCACTTTCAAACTATATGCTTAATACATTAAATACATTAAATAATTTTAAAAAAATCAATACTTACGCGGGAAAAGTAATCCCAGGAACCTTTTTCGAAAATCTGTTTGTGCATTCATATACAACACAAGCTGACATGCTTCAAAAAGAAAAGAAGAAAAATATTGTAATTACGGGCTTCCTTGCACAAGTCACAGCGATAACAGTAACATGGCTGTCAAGCTTCCCTCCTTCTATTCCAACCTCCTTGGGTAGGGTTTGGAAATACGCCCCCGGGACAACTGAGTATTTCACACCTCTTCATGTTTGACAAGAATAGAAAACATTTCATTCTAAAATTTCTTAACATCAATTTGGCGACCACTGGATACTGGCCATTGCTAATTGAAACTACTCGATTTTTCATCGTGTGGCAGAAAAATGTGATTAAGCTGCAAAACATGATTATTTTTTCTGCCATTTGTTGACTTCGTTGTGTAAAGACTTGAATTAAGTAACTAAATACATTTTTAAAATACTTTAGTTTCCTCCTGTACCTGGAACTTGGAAAATAATTAAAGGTAATTATGAACTATTTTTCGAGATGTTGATTGCATTGATGCTGTGCACCAGATTTTGCATAAGTTTATTTCCCCTCCTAGCCCTATCACAATAGCTATATTACATATTCTGTACCTGATCTGAGTTTCCCCAATACAGTTTTGAATTGTATGTAATTTATGTTACTTGTAAAAATGGCACAGAAATAAAGCGGACATTTTTTTCACCAAATAAATTATATTTGTGAGCCATATAGTAATCAGCCAAATGTACTTCTATGTTTTAAGATTAATCAATCTTTCGGATAGTTCGAGAAGCATATTTCAACAAACTTATTCTTTCTCCCATGTGGAGGCATTTGTGTTATATAATGGGAGTTTTGGAAACAGTAGAAATAAATGAATATATATACAAATGGAATTTGCTTCTGTGTTATATTAAATGTTCCACTCTTGGAAAAATATGGTTTTGTAATTACGCATACAGTTATTAAGATAAGAGTGTCGTAGAAGCTTTTGTTTAGTATACTTAATATGAAAATGCATGTGTGTCATGGTATATGGTACTTTTGGATCATTGTACATGTTTACTAAAGCTTACATTTAAATCATGTAGGAGTAGAGATAGGAAATGAATTGAATTGAAGTCTGCATGAGACTCAGCTTGATTTTGTTTTTTTTTAAAGCTTGATTTTGTTTGACGTTATTAAAAGTGCTACTTTCAAATTTGCATTTATTTTTATTTTCAGGTACAAACATGTCTAGTGCAGCAAATTTAGCTCTTCTCCAGAGTCAAATCCAGTCAACTGCTGGAGCTATTCCAGTTTTAAATGAAAAGGGTAAGTGTTTTGAAACTGCTAATTGTAATTAGTCTGTAACTGTGAATGCTAATCTATTTGCTAAGTACTGAGAGGCAGAAGGAATTTTCACAGATGTACCAGTTTTCAAAATATGTATTTTTCAATGTTGAATTTATAATTATAATCACATGAGCAGTAGGTGCTAGTTTGACGTTGAGAAGTAATTGTGGTTGATCTTTACAATATGGTAACTGGTAGTTTGGTGACATTTTGGAGGCGATAAAGGTTACTACCTGGCACTTTGGTAATAATGTGAGCAGTACTCAGTTCCGATTACGCATTATTTTGTGTGAGGGAAATGAGAGATCATGGGATATGTCATGTGATATTAATGGACGAATTACGGTTCTTAATCGGAATGGAAAAGGGGGGAAATCGGGAAAAAGTCTGGAAATTTTGTATTGGCTTGGCTTTATGTGTTGTGTGTGAAACAGTGTTCGTGAATTTTTGGATCCCATGGCTGTAACTAAAAGTGAATTCGCAATGGGTATTTATGTATGTATTAATTTAGTGTATGTGCTCATTTATATTTTAAGTAGTGTTTTTGAATTTAATTATATTTTAATTAAATGATAGTTATTTTGTGAATTTTATGTTTGTAGGAATTGGTATTACGTTTTAGTTGAAGTAAACGTGCATGGAAATAATTTAAATATCTGACACTAAGTATTTATAATGGTTGCGTATGAATTCGTTGGTGACGTGTATAATGTATAGATGATTAGAGGTAAAAGTTTTTGGATATTTTATTTATTTATATGTGGAAATGTTCATTACTTTTTCGTGATCAGGTAATTTATATATGTTATTTTTACCGGGTTTTAAAGATTGAGAAATTGTCAATGTATTTTCGTGAAATTTTTTCTAATTTATGAGAAAAAAGCAGTGTACATGGATATAGTGAAGAGTGTGCGCAATGCCATTTTTGTGCAATTCTGGGATGTTTTTTTAAGTAAAAATAGTCGGCGTGTACATGGTTTAGTGATATTTTAATTAAATGATAGTTATTTTGTGAATTTTATGTTTGTAGGGAATTTGGTATACGTTTAAGTTGAAGTAAACGTGCATGGAAATAATTTAAATATTTGATACTAAGTATTTGTAATGCTTGTGGTATGAATTCGTTGGTGACGTGTATAATGTATAATAGATGATTTAGAGGTAAAAGTTTTTGGATATTTATTTATTTTATATGTGGAAATGTTCATATTTGGAAAGGGTATATACTTTTCGCGATCAGGTAATTTCATATATGTTCTTTTTACCGGGTTTAAAGATTGAGAAAATTGTCATGTATTTTCGTGAAATTTTTCTAATTTATGAGAAAAAAGCAGTGTACATGGATATAGTGAAGAGTGTGCGCAATGCCATTTTTGTGCAATTCTGGGATGTTTTTTTAAGTAAAAATAAGTCGACGTGTACATGGTTTAGTGATATTTTAATTAAATGATAGTTATTTTGTGAATTTTATGTTTGTAGGAATTTGGTATACGTTTAAGTTGAAGTAAACGTGCATGGAAATAATTTAAATATTTGATACTAAATATTTGTAATGCTTGCGGTATGAATTCGTTGGTGACGTGTATAATGTAATAGATGATTTAGAGGTAAAAGTTTTTGGATATTTTATTTATTTTATATGTGGAAATGTTCATATTTGGAAAGGGTAAATACTTTTTCGTGATCAGGTAATTTCATATATGTTCTTTTTACCGGGTTTAAAGATTGAGAAAATTGTCATGTATTTTCGTGAAATTTTTCTAATTTATCAGAAAAAAGCAGTGTACATGGATATAGTGAAGAGTGTGCGCAATGCCATTTTTGTGCAATTCTGGGATTTTTTTTAAGTAAAAATAAGTCGGCGTGTACATGGTTTATGTGTATGTGTTATTTTGAAAAACGCGTAAGGAGTATGGTATTGTGCACTTTTCCCAATTTTGCAGTGAATATTTGTCATGATTAAGCAGTTTTGTTAGATAAAATTTCTAGCATAAGTGTAATTCGGCTAGTAGATTGTTGGAAGAAGTGTTCAGTAGATAAAAAGAAAAGAAACGTCTTTACTTCGTGAAGACGAAATGGCAGCGGGAAAAAAAAAATAGAGGGTTGCTGTAGAAGAGTTGGTCGCCAAATTTTCGTCAAAAAAACGCCAAGTTACCATAATGTAAAGATCAACCAAATTTTCCAATAATAGCATATTAATTTATTTATTCCTTATATTTAGAACAATGCATAAAAATAATATCCTCAAATGATTAAAAATACTAACTTACCTAATCTTCTACAGAATCTTGAGTGCATGGCGGATCACAAAATGTCCATTTTCACCAGATTTCTTGCACCGCCATTTAAGGTTATCTGTAATATCCTTCCTTTCACACAATCTCATTTCATTCCCACATGTTGGACATTCATACTTATCCGCAGTTAATCCTACACTCATACACAATTCAAGCAATTCTTTTGGATTATAAGATAAACACAATAAAAATTTTGAATTCACTTTAGATAGGGCCATGGGATCCAAAAATTAAGCAACACTGTTTCACACAACACAGAATGAAAGCTAAATACAAAATGCTATAAAGTACTACAGATATTTTACCAAATTTCCTCCCTTTTCCGATTAAAGAGCTGTCATTCGTCCATAAATGTCACATGACATATCTCATGATCTCTCATTTCTCTCTGACAAAATGCCAAAGTCCTTAAATACCTTTATCGCCTACCAAAATGTCACCAAACTGCCTGTTACCATATTCCAAAGATTAGCCAAATAATGCTTTTCAAAAGTGGAAACCTTTCTATGTTTAATATATTTAACTGATCAACCAATCAGTTGACTGAATTTCTGGAATGAATTGGAAAAATTTCATTATTCAGTTAACCTTCATTAAAGTATGATTTTGTTGTGTTAAACATAAGTGCATCACTAAAATAGGATTACTTCAGAGCTAGAGTATTTTTATTCCCTCCTTTTTTATTCCTTTGTCGTCTTTATCATTTTATGTTAGTAGCAATTATGTCAAAAATTATGAATTGTATTCCAGTGTCATACATATGTTATCATCATTCCAAAAATTAGTTCATTATTCACAAGTAACAATAGTCAGAAATAAAAATATGAGTGGTTTTATTTTAATATCTTCATTTCTATTTGTACAGTGTTTTTTGTTTTATCAACAGTGGTTCATGACTTCTGTTGCAATAAACCTCCACACTGTGTGCAATAACCACCAAACACATTCTCTTCCTTAAATATCTAGGAGATTTGAAATGGAGAGGATGACCAAGTTAAACACTTGAGGGCAGTTGCTAAGGCTAAATGAATAGTTTAAAGTGACTATATGTCACAAATGGAATGTGCAACATGTAAGATCAAGCAACCTTTCTTTTTGGTTCCATGTTTTGTACATTCCACCTTGTCTTTGAAATGGTTGGAACTATAGTAACCCTTTCCTAGAAAAGAAAGAAAATGCATGTAATTTTCACCATATATAATGCTTAAATCTTTTAAAAAGTGGTTTTCACTTTTCCAGGCTGGAGAACTATACATAAATGAAATTTAGACTGATTTACTTATTTGTAATAGAAATTGTTACAGCTTATTTTCATTTATAACATTTCAGAAATTCACATACATTTTGCTATTGTTTATTTATTTTTATTGGGTTAATATATTTTTATTTCAAATTCTTATTATGCATTTTAAGTATGTTTAAGGATTTGGATATTTTTTATTGTTCTTTATATCATGATTTTTTCTTCTTTTTAGGCGAAGTGTCTATGCAAAAAGTAAAGGTCTTCAGATATGTATCTGGAAGAAGGTAATTTTTTTTATTACTGAGTTTTTATTTCTGCACTTTTTGTTTTAAACATGTTAAAATATCTATAAAAACCTTTGAATGAGTAATCCTCTATCTTGCATTATTATAATTACCTAAACAATTTTATGTTTTAATAGTACTTATTGTCTTGTTTTATGTAATATTTTGATAAAATTTGTTGTGTAGCTATTTGTGTAACTTGCAAGAAAAGTTTACCGGCCTTAAGTGGTTTAAAAACAACAGAGATGTTTCTAGAAATCCAATAATAATAATAAAAAAATATTAGTTTAAATTAATTGTTGTTTTGGGTATCTTTAAATGATGGAAAAAATGAATGATTTATAGATATTGATTGTCAAAGACTTTAGAGAAAATTGACAATATTTTAAAATTTCAGAAAATTGTGAAAGATATTTTCATTGTCAAACATATTTATATTTACATTTACTGATATTATTTTTTTAACAGTAGAACAACATTGTTCACAGTTTCAGAAGTTTCTATTCTTTGAAGAATTTCTCAGTGTTATCAAAATTTCTTAGTGGCTCACCAAATTTACAGCCTGAAATTTGAAATAAAATTATCAAACTTTTTTTTTACTTGGTGAATTCTTATTACAGTACAAAGTCTGTAATCTGGACTTGTCGGGACTTTGGCAGTTCTGGATTAGGGGTTTTTCCGGATTATAGATCATCAATTTAAATATGGTAAGATGGCATGCAAAAATTATACAATTAAAAATATTAAACCGTAATTTATGAAATAAAGTGCAATTATGATCTAAAGGGTATTAAAATTTACAAAAAAAAAAAAAAAAAAAAAAAAGCTTAATATTTATTTGTTTACCTTAGTAAACATTTCTTTCAATGTAAGTTGTTTGCTTCGTTTTTTGTGCTAAACGCGCATGTGTAACATTAAACGCGCATGCTTAAATGCATTACGTACATGCGTAAAGCATACCCAAAAAAAAAAAATGTTTGTGGCTTTGAGATCCGGATAATTGATGTCCGGATTACGGACTATATCCAACATTGTTTTTTTTGGGGGGGGGAAGACTTTTGTTATTTCTATGATTTTGTTGGCTCCACTGACTTTATTTCTTTTATGAGACATTAAACTATTTGCACATACTTCCTTGAAATGGTTATTCCATTCTATTGTTGTTATAGCCGATTCCTAACTGAAGTTGGCAAAATTCAGTCAATGTCAATTCCCAACACCACAGACAGATAAAACAAATGACATTGAAAAAAAAAAAAAAAAAAAAAAAAAAAGACGCAAGCCTTAAAACCATGTTTTGGTTCTAAATTCTTTCCCGCCTCCTTTCACAGCAAGAATGTACATTACAACACCATAGAGGTGAAAATGCCTGGTTTCTCTATTTATCTGTCTGAGTCAAAAGTTAACTTCATCGAATGATTTTGAGAACAAAGTCAATTGCCATGAATTATTCCTTTGTCCTGAAGGAATCTTATGGTAGCCTCTTCGTTATTATGCTATTTCCAAATTGTATAGTCCATCATACTAAAAAAAATGGTGAAATATGGCAAATAAGTAATGTGTGGTGTTATTTAAAAAAAAAAAAAAACAAAAAAACTAGAAATCTCGAGCTACTATATTTCAAGTGTTAAATTCTCGAGTCTCGATATTTGGCTTGTTGTAGCCTTATTTTCTTCTCCTTTGATCTTCATTTTTCACTGACATCGCTCTAATGAAATAGTACCTTTAAAATATATCCAAGAAATTAAGGCAGTATTTTAAAAGAGCACACTGAGGAAGAAAATACATTCTTACATTAGACAAAAAATGTTATTAAAAATATGTACAATTATCTTGACGTTGCTTAAGATGCGGGTTTTGAATTGGAGCAGTATTTTTTAACAACCATAGCAATCTCACAGTGTAGTTGCTGTTTATGCTGCATATTGATATTTAAGCTGTTGGCATTTGTTTTGTTGTTGAATAAGTCTTGAAAATTTCAGCTTCATAAGGTAGTACTGTGTACATACTTAAGAATTCTGCTGTCTGTAATAGAGGTAAGCTGTAGAGATTAGCAGTCTGTTCAGATTTTGAATGCAATTGCCAGACAGTGCATTTTGGAAATCAGAAACCTCTTTAACCTTTTGAGGCCGGGGCTATGGTAGCAGTAAAAGCTACCAAAGGATGGGCAATCTTGAACCGAATGCTTTCCCCCCTTTAAGAAATCACCTCCTATTTGCAACAAAGATTCTTGTGTGTAGTTTAATGGATTCCCAGAGGGGTGCACCTATGTCGTAAAAGCAAGACCTTTGAAAGAGATAAGTGGTTAAAACCCCAGGGACGTCAAATTTGACATTTCACCCCACTTTTCAGCCTGGAAAATGGGGGAAAAAGACATGGCCACTAAAGTGGACAACCCCGTCTTTTCAAAAGAGGACTATATGGCCACTATAATGGCCATCCCGTCTTGAAAAGGTTAATCAATTTGCTAATATCAAAAATGCATTTCGCTATTAAAAGGCATCATTAGATTGTTGGTAGTGTAACTGAGGATGTCATTTAATTCCCCTAAAACCAATGAATGACGAATGTACAAATGAAATTTCCTTGTTCAGTTGCTGTTGTCAATTGAATAGGATTGTTGAACTCTCATCACTTTTTTATTTTTATTATTTCCATAAAAAATTACATATTGTAATTATCTGAAAAGCAAATTTTGTAATATATAATTTAATTATTCTGTATTAAAAGGCCAGACTATATAATCTTTATTTTGTATTTCAGACCAAAATATGCTCCTGAAGAGAGCAGTGAAGAAGAAAGTGATGATGAATTTCCTTTTGAAAAAAAGCAACTTGCTGCTGTTCCTGAACTCCCTATCGTTGATGATGAAGAAGCTCTAAAACAAGATCCCAGGTTGCGTCGTTTATTAAAGCGAGACCAAGAGGAAGATGATGAAGAAGACAGGTAAGTTGCAAATTTAATTTTTTGGTTCAATTATTTAAGTACGTTAATTAGTATTCCCATATCTTAATTTTTGAGTGCCCTAGATATATTTATAATGCTATAGATTTCATTATTATTCGTAGTTGAGATTATAAATTTTTGTGAGAAGAGAAGAGCTTAGGCATAAACACAAATATATCCATACAATAAATACAGCATATTCATACAATGAATCAAGTGCAAAATTAAGATATAAAGTTTTTGAAATCTTTTAAAAGTATAGATCTCAGTATATAAATATTACATGCATAAATATCTCAAATTACATGTAATTAGAATGACATACTCAACCCTTCGGCAGTTCAAGATTAAGCAATTCTTTCTTCCCCAATACTTTGTAATGTGAGCTGTGTTGTTTGTGCGGTGCATAACTGGAATGCAAGTTGAGCCCATTGATGACCATCAAAAGGTTAAATACTTTTCTAGCTATACCTGCAGAAGATGGTGAGATAGATCAGGATTCTTTGTTTTTGTTATTTTTATTTATATATCTTCTGAAAGCTTCCATTAAGATTACTAAATGTTTTTTAACAGATGAACATTTATTCTTTAGATGGCAGTATTATTTTCTTCAAAAAGTTAAAAATATATCTTTTTAAAGTTATACCACTTACTAGTTTTGACTTTGAGAACTGTGAAACATCAACTGGATCGTGAAAGTTCAGGAATGTCCTATCTCTCAGAAATACTATGTTATTCTTTAGAATTACATACATCCATTGTACTTATTAATTATACCAAATCTAAATGGTAATTTCGCAGCACTTTGACTGCTGTGTGTTTCTTATGCAGCAAAGTGAATTTGTTAATGGTTTGAGTACCACCTTTTTCATTGCTGCAGAGCAATCTATGATAGTGTTCTGCTTGATTTATCTTTTACACTTTTGCATACTCTTAAAGGAGGGGATTACAAAAGTAATATGTAATTATTATTTACAAGTTCAGGTTTGAAATTTACCATTTCTTAGCGTGTAGATTTGTATCTTATCTATTGCACTGCAAAGATTTGAAAGAAGACAATTACTTTGTGACATTTACAGACACATTGTCTTCATTTTTAGCACTTAAAGTATATTTGGGTCCAGTAAAATAATAAGTAATAATAGATAATATCTGTGTGTCTTTAAAGCAAATGATAAGAATCGTACATTAGAAAATTGAAATTTTTTTTATGGTTTATCATTCTTCTTCCCCTTTATTTCTCTCTCTCTCTCTCTTTCTTTCCTCCCCTCAAGTAAGTTCTATTTATTTATCTATTTGAAATTTTTTATGTATTTTCTAATCAAATTCTCTCTTAATAATTGTAATTTCGTTTAGAACTGGGCTTAAATTGCATTCAGGGAAAGCTTCAGGCATAGGCAACATAGGCAGTTTACAAGGGCTGTATTTGTTTTGAAGATGCAAGCTAAGCTATTCTCACAGGTGCCTGCTAAATTAAATTACATTTTACTTTGAAATTTAGTGATCATGCTGTACTAATTGCATAGGATACTGAAAATGCTGGAGCTAGGCCTGATTGAGAAACCTTTGTGGGCACTATTCTACAAAAGCAAGGAGCAAGAGTGCTTTTGTGCAGAATGTTTGTTTAAAAAAATTGTCTCATTGCATTTTGGGAAAAATCTAAAGAGCTTTTATGAATTATTATTCTTATTATTTATTTATTTATTTCATCCTGGAATTATCTGTTTTACCCATTTGGCCAGTGGTGATTGGGTGAAAGACAGATTACATTTTACTGTTATGTATTAATTGTTTATTAATTTCAAGCTTTAAGTTTATTGCTTACTTATTTCTGTTTGATCAGTAATTGAAGTTGTTATTTTTTGCTTTAGTTGTTTAAAGTTAGTTGTAAGTGTAAGGCTCTAAACTTTTGGTAAACTTTAAATTAAAGTTGGAAGCTTTAAAAGTTTTCTTAAAGTGAAGTTGTTTAATTTTATTTTGAGTTTAGGGACTTAAACTTTTATTTGGTTTTGTAAAGTTTTTGTTTTGACCCTTAAGGTTATGTAACTTTTTAACTTTAGTTTATTTAAATGGTTGTTTGTTACACATTTTTTGGTGTATTAATTTTTTTTTAAATTTAGAGTTTGATTAACGTCTACCCCTCTTTCTGCTAAAGTCTTTTGAATCAATAATTTCTGGTTGTAAGGTGTTAAAGAAATGTAATTTTTTAGCAATATTAATTAAGGTTTTATCAGCTTTTATGTTTGCTGAATTTTTTTTTTTCAAGTAAAATTCGTCAGTTTGTTTGACTGTAGTAAATTTGGATAACTCAAAATATGTCTCTTGGGTTTGATTCTGTGTTAAAGAGACTTTAAATACAAGTATTTCTTGAGTATTATCTCAATTTAAAAATAGAAATTATGAATTTAACTAATGGAAATTTACATGATTTTGTACAGAAAATTTGTGCCTTTCTGGTGGAAGTATAGGTTTCCACTTAGCTTAATTGCTTGAGAAGTTATTCAGGTACTTATGTATTAACGCAACCAGGCCAAAATTCGCATAAATCGCCAAATTTGGCGACTCTACTTATGGCAACCCTACGTGTTTAGACGAAAGTTTATTTGTGAAAAGAAAAAATAACACTGGGTGTGTACTACCACAGCAATGGGTTTTCGGCGGAATTTGCCGAGAAAAGAAAGAGACTTTTATGGTTACTGTACCTAACAGAAGCGCCGTGACCCTCATGGAAAACATTTGCGAAAATATCAAGGAAGGAAGCATCATTTATTCGGATTGCTGGAAAGGATACAATACAAGTGAGTTCGAAAATGCTGGATTTCTGCATGGAACTGTTAATCACAAATATAACTTTGTGGATCCCAACATGGGCGTTCACACACAACATGTAGAGTGCATGTGGGGCTCAGCCAAATGGCACAACAAAAAACAGAGAGGAACAGCCTGTCATCATCTTGACTCATACCTTATCGAATTTATGTGGCGCCAAGCTCAAGCTGTTAATGGCTAAGACGGTTTTCAATCAGTGCTAAAAGCAATAGCCAAAAGATTTCCGCCGAAAAAATAATTCTGCAACTTATTCAAATTCGAAGCTGGAAGGGTTTAATTGCTATTTTATATTTTAAAACAAAATAATATAAAAAACTGTATTAAAAATTATCTGTAATTAATAAATGTACATTTTCTTTCTATTCATTCTTTTATACTCACTTACAAATCGCGCCAACCTGGTTGCATACTTACAAATTGCGCCAACCTGGTTGCGACAATACATAAGTACCGTTATTCATAATTAAACATATATTTTTAGCAGAAATGGCGCAGATTTTCTGACTTCAAAATGTTTACTTAGAAGCACAGTTTTTGTTTCCAGAGCTGGGTTTTGACAGGTTATGAATGTTTACTCCCACCCATTTCAGGAAGGGTGAATCTTCCTGTGAAAAGGGTTAGTTGCCTTGGCATGTTTTTTGGCGAGAAAATTTAAAAAGTTGAATTATTCTTGGAAAAATTTAGAAATTTTTATATCATTTTGTTCTTGGCGTGGTTGCAGATTTTTCTCATCTCTTTTGGGGAGTTTTTAGGAATGTGGAAGTTTTCCGATTTAAAAACTCTTGCGCGCCTGTTAGAGGCAGATTTTCCTTACAAAATTTCTGAGCCAGCGGATTGCAGAAGACGAAAAAGAAATGTGCAGGGAATTTGTTTTCGCTGTCACCGGTTCCAACGTAATTAAACTCCAGTTTTTAAGAAGTTCCTTATCGAGCAAGATTTTCACACAAATGGTCTAAGCCAGCTTTCTGGAGCCACTGACGGAGATTTTTGTTTTGACCTCTTCAGATTGCCAGTGATGGAGCCTATTATATCACCTATAGGCGAAGTCCAGTGAAGTTCTCCAATGCTTCATCCCAGCGAATTAGGCCTAGTGCGGATGGACGCAGCCGAAAATTTCTGAAGTTTCCCTCCAGTGCACTACAGATTGCCAGCTTAGATGGTCCACTTGGTATGCGAGAAAGCCGCTGTCAAATGCAACTGATCTGAGCGTCCAGTCTTCGGAAAGACCATACCAGAAGATGTCTACAGACTGGGTGGTAACTTACTTAAATTTTCCTTTCAGCGCTGACCCCAATTTCTCAGCCAGTTACCAATAATTTTACTCCTTTACTGAGAAATAATATTAAGTGTTTGTTCAATGAAATTGATCATTATTGTTAATTTAAAATTTAAATTGATTTCTAACTTCTAGTCTTCCGGAAGAGTATCTTTGTCTAATTGCAATGAATTCTATATTGAATAAATCTAGCTTATCTATTATTTTGGCATGTTAATTGTTAATGCTTTCCACATACACTTTCTTAACCACGTTTGTAACACGTTTAGATTACATAATGCAATGATTTTACTTTTTCTAGGTCATTTTGATTTGTTGTTAGTGTTTTCTTAAGGTAATTAAAAGGCAGGTTGTTCACCACTTTCAGTTGATTTTTTTTCATTTAAGAGTGAGGAAAATTATACACCACAACATTACTTTGTATTGCTTGATGTTGCTTCAAAATATTTTAACATTATATTTATTGAAATATAATTAGATAGTTTTCTAATAATAAAGAAAGCTGTTTTTACCAATACTCTTTCTTGAATTTTGAATTAATTTCATTGTGTGTAACATGTATATTTATTTAAAAATCATTTTTAGAATTGAAAGGCATCGTCACATTCATGAACCTGTTGCTACAGAAGAAGTAAGTGAAGGGGAAGAGGCAGAAGGAAGACCTAGGAGGTGGCGTGAAGAAGAAGAAAGTAGTGATGAGGAAGAATTAGATGAAGATGTGAGTTTTTCTCAAAAATATAATACTTAAACTATTTATTTTTTAATATGAGTAGAAAATTATACATTATTTAAATAAAAAATTGAGCTTATATGAGAGTAGCACAATCATAGAGGCTTTCATTTATATATTATTAATTTTTTTAAGTATTAAGAGCTCTGTTGTAATTCAAGTGTTGCAGTTTTGAGACTGGACAGTCTTATAGACTTTCTTTTACATTTTTTTACTCCTTTAAGAGCTTTGTTCTTGTAATTCAAATATTACCATTCTTGAGATTGGGGAGCATAGGAATTGATATACAAAATGAAATATACTTTTGCAATCTGTCCTACCTTGATTTAAAATTTTGGTGACTTGAAAATTTCCTGCATGATTTCAAAGTATCCAAATAAATATGTAAGGATAGCAATTCATGTACAGAATTTCAATGTATAATGAAAAGGGCTGGGTATTCAGTTTTTCTAATGAATGAATTTTGAGGAAATATATAATTTGTTTTCTTGTGGAGGAACTTTTGCAAGAGTTGCAAATGGAAAGTTCGCAAAAATCTGAACTTGAATAAATTACATAAAATCATTGTACTTAAATATACTACAGTCAGTCAGTTTTAGTATTAATGCAGTGAAAGTATTCTTGGTACTATTCCGTTTCGAGGGCCATAATAAATTGCAGCGCATACATTTTTGTATGCGCAAAAACGCGAAATGTAGCAAACGCACCCATTTAACAGCGCATTAAATCTAGCGTACGCGCTGATTTCAGATTGCGTAAGTTTATATAGTTCTATGTTTCTTAAGACGCCATTGAAATGCTAGTTTAATTTTAAATCCTTTTTTAATATCCTATGGATTTAACAATTTGGGAATTGCCCATGACGAAAAGTCGGCAATAGAATTTTGGGTAAAGTGCAGAATCACCCACTGTTTGACGCATTTTTAAGAATTGCACAAACTCGGTATCCATGTGCACATCGACCTATTTTCACTTTAAAAAAAAAAATATCCTCAGAATTGCACAAAAATGGCAAAATGCCCTTGGCTTTATCTATGTACACATCAACCTATCTTCACTTAAAAAGTAAAAGAAAATTAACAAAAATCCAATTGTTTTTACTCTTGTAAAAAGCAGCAAACAAGATTCTGCACTTTACCGAGAATATTTTCAAAGAAAAAGCATTATTCATTATAGAAAATTACGTTTGAACAACCAACAAGATGAAATTAAGCTTTAGCGATAAGTCGGTAGCGAAATAGCGATGCAGGCATCCATTCAGTTATGTTTAGCAATTTCTATATAAATTATAATAATGATCAGAAATAGTTATTTACTCTTATGCTTTCATTCAGTCATGTTTAGCCTTTTTCATATAAATTATAACAATAAAAGAGTATTATATGAAATTAACCTTTCGTCTAAATTAAAACATCAATCTTTGATAGTTATTTACTATTATACTTCGTTTCTTGCCGCAATTATTTTTGGCAGCATTGGCATCAACAATAGTTTGGCGAATTTTACGGCCCTCGAAACCGAATAGTACCGTATTCTTTAATTTATATGCTGTTAATGTAAGATGACTTTCATCTATGTGCTTTTATATGATTTTTCATTCATAATGTATTTTATTTTTAAATCCTATATTACCTTATCTGCTTTAAATAGTTTTTTTGTCACCTTCTTCTTCTTCTTTTTTTTTTTTTTATAGTTTGTTTGTTGTACTGTCATGAGATATTAACTGTATCTGTTATTTATCAGTTATTGAAGTGCGACTTTGATCTTATTTGTAGGAAATTGAAAGAAGAAGATTAATGTTGAAAAAGAAGGCTCAAGAAAAAGTGCAAGAAGAAGAAGTAAGTATTTCTCTTAAACATTTTAAATTTAAGAATTAATTATAGGCATATATATGTAAATGTAAGAGTATTCAGTTAGCATGCAGATGGTAGAGAAAAGGAATGGTAGGACATGGCTAATGATTATATTTCTTCAAGCGTAATTCTATATAACATTAACCACTTGCGCTACGACTAAACTTCACAGTTGCGGTGCTGTGCGCTACAAATATAACAAGTGGTAAAGTGCCTCATTTACGCCGCTCTGCATCTGCGAGTGCAATACAGAGCTGTAACTCGAGAAATAAAGAATCTCGTTGTTAGGCGAAATGTGCACCACGTTATTTTCATTTTTGCACGCGGTTTGAGACAAAAGCATCTAGACGTCTTTTTAGCGCAAGTGGTTAAGGAAGAAAAGAAGCAACATTCAAGTCAATATCCTTTTATCTATTCATCTTCCTCTTTTCTTGGTACTCTCTACACTTGCAAAGGTCACCTTTTTAACAGGGTTCAAGTTGTCATATCTAAAAATATGTCCAAACCACCTGATTAAATAAGATTTGATGACTTGAACAATATTAAGTTGTTTGTATCTTCTATATATTTCATGGTTAAGCAAAATTCTCCATCTATTATTTTCTCTAACTAAACCATATATTTTTGACTGTAGTTTTCTTCTTCATATGACTAGTTGACATTTTAATATCTCACAACCAACTGCCACCAGACTGTAACACAGCCGACAGCCAAGGCTTAGATTTGCATTTCTAGGCTAAATAAATTTATTGATGTATAAAACTATGTACAAGAGTTGAATTTAAGAAACTTTAAAATATATTTTCTTTATAAAGGACCTGCATTTGTATTCTTTTTGTTCGATTTCCAATCTTTCTCTTTAACTAGTACGCATGGATCGCAAGTAAAAGTCCGTTCCCTTCCAGCAGAGACAAGGAAACATTTTTCTGAGGCTGGCACAAAATTCTCACCAGTGCAAAAAAATTATGACTGAACAAAAATTTCAAGCGTGGTTGAGCTAAGTCAGGGGAGTTCTCTTCCTGTCCCCGCATTCCGTAAGAAAAGAGACGTTACAACATTAAAATAGTTCTGGAATTTTTAATGCAGCATATTTTTCAAGATATGCAACATAAAGCCGTTATATGATAAATTATCGACTTCCTAAATCTCGATTTTGAGAAAAGCATTAGGAAGCACATATTTTTCTGAAGGGCTCAATTTTAGCAAAAATAAAATTTCTTTTCCAGTTAGGAAAAACATATATAAAAATGAATTGAGGCTGAGTTACTTGTGTATAACTGCTGTAATTTGCATTATTTTTAATTAGAACTTTTTACTGCAGTAATTTGCATTATTTTTAATTAGAACTTTTTACTGCAGTAATTTGTATTATTTTTAATTAGAACCATACCTGCCAACTTTTACGAATTTTTCGTAATTTTTACGAAAATGCGTTTGTCTTTACGATTTTACGACCATAATCCAATTTTTACGATTTTTTTTCCTTTTTCAAGTGTTTTTAGTGATTTTTGTTGAAATTTTAAAATTTTTCGCCAATTTAGCGATTTTTGCCAATTGCATCGTGTTTTACTGGCAACTAACAACTACTTCGAATCCAGTAACTTGCGGTTTCTCCCAACTCGCCGCTTAACCAGCCAATCCAATGCGCTGAACTTGTTTTTCCCACTCTTTTCTTTGTGGGCGCCTGATTATTTTTTTCGCGTTTGCTTCAGTAGCAAGGGAATTACTTAGCTCGGACTCAGCGAGCGTGGATTGTCGCATTCTGTTTGTTTTTTGTTTGCACGTGCTACGCATTTTCTTAATACGTCGTTGTTACGAAATGAGTTCAAAAAAACCGTATTCTCAATATTTTCGGCCTGCCTACAAAGCCGAATTTCCAACAATTAAAGAATCCTTCAAAGGAAATAACTATGAATTTCCAAAGAATTTTTGGCTAAAGCCAAAAAATGCACTCTAAATTCATTGCAATAATTTTTTTGTGTAACATTAAGCTCTTGTTTTATGTTTCCTAATAAATTTTTTAGTTACTACTTAATTGAGATTTACTAATGTAAGTACAATTTTCTTTTTTCTATTTTTATAAATTGTTATTTTGTTAATATCAAAGCATGATATTAATTCTTCGTGTTCTTCTGATTTTTTATCTTTAGAGGTTGGCAGGTATGATTAGAACTTTTTACTGCAGTAATTTGCATTATTTTTAATTAGAACTTTTTACTGCAGTAATTTGTATTATTTTTAATTAGGACTTTTTGAATATTTGTGTATTTATGTGTGATTGTGAAAATATATAATTGAGAAATGTTTGAAAGACATTCTGCTCAATCCCTGCTGATAATTTTGTGGCACAGACTTCTTTATTGTGTAATGTAGGCTGACACAGTGTTTTACTAATACGTGCATGCTATTCTGAATATTAGGATCTGCATCTTTTCTGTTTGAAGTCAAGATGCTAGGAAACATTGCAGCATTTTTTTTTTTTTACCCAATGGGCCACAGTAGCCCAGTAGGGCTATTAGTCTCAAAATGGTATTTTATGGTGTTTCACTGTAAACGGCAAGTCATATTTTAAATTATTAACACCAAATATTATCACTCTGCAGTATATTAAAAAAATTAAGTAATGAAGAATCTGCATGAATGTATGTATGGTTTTTGCATTGTGAAAAAAACAGAGGTACCTAGAGCCATCAAATTTTGAATAACATTATTGATGTTAATATCAAGCTTAAATATTCTGAAAATATTGGCTTACCTTTCCTGATGATAAGCCTTTTTTTTTTTTTTTTTTTTTTTTTTCATTTTCGAATGCAAGGTAATTCTGCAATTTTTTATTAATTGAAGATAATCGCTATTCATTCCAAAAGTAGGCACTCCTACAGTATAATATATGTTTTATTAACAAATCACATTACTAACTAATTATATAAATAACGCAGAAGAGAAGGATTGCATCTTTCATTCAAACGTCCATTACGAGTTCTAAAGTTCAGTTATTGTTCTGTTTTTATTTGAACTGCACGCATTCATAAATCACAATTACGTGGTGTTTGATAACAGTTTTAGCGGCAAGAGTTTCAACAAACGTAATCAATCCTCCACCCGAACATAGGCACCTGGAAGCCCGAATTTTTTATTTTGAATTTGTTTTATTATTTATTTCATAGTTTGTTAAACTTTAATGAATTTTCGACTAACAAACTCAATGATTTCAAAGGGAGCAAAGAATTTGTTTTTGCATGCAAGAAACAATCACCAGCGAACATTTACATGGCAATTTTGGAACAGTTTGTTGTTGTTGCCACACAACTAGCATTGGAGGATCATCCAGACACTGACTGGTTTATGTAAGATTGGGCCCAACCTCATTGCACCATACAGGTGTTTCACTTTCTTGATGAATACTTTGAGAATATAGTCTTTGTATTGGATTATTTCAAATTTACTGCTGGAGGCATGGATTGGCCTTCATATTCTCATCATCTGACTTCTTGTTGACTTTTTCATGAATTGACTTCTTTTTGTGAGGCACACAGATAAGTGCTATTTACTGGAACCACCCCCACCATGTTGCACGAGCTTGAATCACATATAGTATGTGTAGCATCTGGACCCATTTCCTTTGAGATAGTGCTCGATGTGATGGCAAATTTCATTCTTCTTTTGCATCACCTCTGTACTATGAATGATGGATGTTTTGAAAAGATTGTGATGTCATTGCAAAGACTGCTTGCAGAAGATGAGTTTCTTTATGCATGTTGACAGTACAAGCTGTACTCCATATAGTGCCATCTTTTGCAGCTTTTTTTAATTATTATTTTGAGATTTCTATGTAACAGTCTTATAGCTTTCACAATAAATGTACCACTTAAAATCAGGGGACTCTTGTTGGACACCCTGTGTTAAATCCCTCGTTTGCATTATAAAATATCATTTATCTCAAGAAGAAACTAAAATGAAAAAAAAAAAAAAATTAAAAAAAAATTAAAAAAATTATTGAGAATTGGGTTTTAGATTGTATTATATCATGATTAAATCAAACAAATGTTATTTCTAGAATAGTTGTAATTTTTCGACATTGTAATTTTATTATCATTTTTCATCAAAAAATGTATAACGAATTTAAAAAGAACCCTGCTAATTAATTCTGATTTTTAATATGTAGGAGTTATTGGATTTAGAAGATGATGAAAACAAATCTGAGCCAGAACAGTCAGAAGAATCAGAATATGAAGAATATTCAGATTCTGAGGAAGAGACAGAAAGGAAGCTACTAAAACCAGTTTTTGTTAGAAAGTATGTGATACCAATTTTTGTTAGAAAATATGTTAAAAATTCGATGCTATTTTTAATAAGTTTTCAACGTCTGCTAAATTTTATATATGTGTCACTTAGGGATATAAAATTTATTTATTGTATTCATGGTGGTAATTTAACTTTCTTATTTTGCTCTCACTTGCAGTAAGTTAAATGCTGAAGTATCCTAAAATTTGTTATTATTAATTTTTTTCCAGGAAAGATCGTATTACAGTGCAAGACAAAGAACTGCAAGCTCAGAAAGAAAAAGAACAAGAATTATTGGCTAAAAAGCAAGTTGATGAACGAAGGCGACAGACACTTAAGGTATTGCTATTACATTATTTAATTTATTATGTACTTTAGGATATTTGCATTTAACTTTGAAGCATTAATGTTAATTCTGGAAATGGACACTGCTCTTTCCATTTCATTTCTTAAGTAATTTATATAAGGAGAGTACTTACTTTATGTAAATTATTCAAAAACTAATGGAACTACTCTATCCATTTTTGGAAAGTGTGATCAACCTCTTTCCTTGTCATTATATGGTGTGTTCAAAGCCTTTCCTTTCATTATGTTTATACCTATCACCACATTAGTTATTTTACTAATGGTGTTATGTATAGCAACACCATAAGAAATGTTTTTACGAAATGTGTTTCAGCCAGCCCTAATTTAAATGAGAGATTTCTAGTCGAAACAGTTACATTGACAATCTGCTGTGTGTTGGTATATTTTACTTGGCTGAACAAAATGTTTTGCCTGCAGCTGTCTCATGTAAGACTTTGCCAAAAAACTGCTCTTTGTATCACTAACCAATTAGACATCCTGGAAGTAAAAGTTTTTTGAAATATTTCTTTTGATGTGCAGTTGAAGGTAGCTAGCAAATCTGATAGGGATTTAATTATTGTTTGTGAAGTATTTTTTCACTTTAGTGAATAGGTACAAGCAACTGTAAGAATACATTCTGTGTTCTCAGTCTGAAGAATACTAAATATGTGTTATCATTTTTATGCCTAGATCTTAGATAATATGCTGTGCAAACAAAGTGTGATGTTCAGATGCTTAAGGCTTTATTATGATGCAAAACCCTACTATTGTTTGTATCTTTGGACCATTTAGAGGAAATTTCATTTTTTAATGAAGCTTCAGAACTTGAAAAGTACCAAGAAGAGCCTTCTGTTATAAAACAACTTGATTATTCACTACTTGCTTTATATCAAAGAAAACTAAATGCTTAGCCTTTCTGGTTTTTGTATGAATCTAATGTTTTCCTAAATGTTTGCAGAATCTTATGTTCTCAAGCTTTATGTTTCCCAGAATTTTTCTTTTCAAGATTTGAAAAATCCTGAGGAAGTAGTTAATTTATTTCTTGAAATTTGATGTTCCATTTTAGAAATTTTTAGAGCTCTTTTGATTCTGTTAAAAAAGTTTAAGATATATTTAATAAGATAGAGAAAAATCATGCAAAATTTTGAAAACAAAAAATTATGCTTTTTTTATATTTATTTTTAATTTTATTTTAAAATTATATTGAAAAAATAATAATTGTTTTAAAATTACTGGCAGTTTTTACTAGCTTTTCAGTACTCATACTGTGTCCTTAATTGATAAATTTATCTTGTGGTATTTTGCCATATAATAGGTGACTACTAGCTATTAATTTTTTAGTCCTCGTCGGTGCCTCCAAAATAATTAAGACTGTGATACTTCTTTGGCGATATGAAGCAACTCCAATGATGGAACACAGAAAAAATCTTTATTTAGCACTCAAAATGGCGACATACAAACAAAAAGAGAAAACATATTCTATCACTTAAAAATAAATTACATTCTTCGTGCGAGAGTCGTACGAGGCACTCGAGTCTGGTTTCAAATATTGCCATTCACAAATACCTTAATGTTCATCTATTTAAATTATTTAAACTACAAGATTTTAATATTATTTAAATCTGTTACAACCTCTCCCCCAACGGAGAGACTTTTTCCGAAGGGAAAAGTTCTGTAAATTTTGAAAGTTTATAAGCTCGGCTTGCTCATTTGCGTAAAGAGAAAAGGTAACTTCTCTAATAAGTTTCCAAACTTCAGGCCAAAATTTTTAAGTTTTAAACAAATATTTTTACACCACATTTAAATAGGAAAAAAATGGACAGTGTTCAAATTAGTCTTCCTTTTTCTCCTTGACGGCGCCTAGATCTCTTCCATGTTGGACCAGTTCCTCAGCTATAATTCACAGCAAAACCTTTCCTCAGTTCATCTCTGTGGCCTTTCGGAAAATATTCAATTGTCATTTGCTTTCTACAATTGTTTTCTCCGTCTATTAGTAGCGGCTTTGATATTAAATCAAAAGCCGAAAGATGATGATAACGCTTGCATTGCAAAATGATTCTCAATATTAATTTGTTTATCATTTTTCAAATTTTTGTGAACATCTTCCACGTTTAATTCTGGTGATTTAACTTCTTCTTCAAATACATCTCTGGATGCTTTATTTTCTTCCTTCATCGGTTCCAAGATCTGCTCTTCAGGTATTTAAGTTTTCCTTTGAGCTCTAGTAGAAACGGCATTAAAATGGTATCACTAAGTTAACATTCACGTGATAAACTAATAAAATAAGGCAGTTCAGTGTAAACAGGAAGTAATAACCTGATATCACTAATATTACGTTCAGTGATGAACTAATAAAATAAAGTAATTCAATATTAACAGGAAGTAATAACCTGGTATCACTAATATTATGATCAGTGATGAACTAATAAAATAAGACAATTCAATATCAACAGGAAGTTACGTTCAGTGATGAACTAATACAATAACGCAATTCAATATCAACAGGAAGTTACGTTCAGTGATGAACTAATAAAATAAGGCAATTTAATATCAACAGGAAGTAATAATCTGGTATCACTAATATTACGTTCAGTGATGATCTAATAAAATAAAAATACGCACGATTATTCGATCTCGTCGGTGCCTCCAAAATAATTATGACTGTGATACTTCTTTGGCGATATGAAGCAACTCCAATGATGGAACACAGCAATAACTTTTATTTAACACTCAAAAATGGCGACATACAAACAAGAAGAGAAAACATATTCTATCATTTAAAATTAAATTACATTCTTCGTGCGAGAGTCGCACGTGTCACTCGAGTCTGGTTTCAAATATTGCCATTCACAAATACCTTAATGTTCATCTATTTAAATTATTTAAACTACAAGATTTTAATATTATTTAAATCTGTTACAACCTCTCCCCCAACGGAGAGACTTTTTCCGAAGGGAAAAGTTCTGTAAATTTTGAAAGTTTATAAGCTCGGCTTGCTCATTTGCGTAAAGAGAAAAGGTAACTTCTCTAATAAGTTTCCAAACTTCAGGCCAAAATTTTTAAGTTTTAAAAATATTTTTTACACCACATTTAAATAGGAAAAAATGGACAGTGTTCAAATTAGTCTTCCTTTTTCTCCTTGACGGCGCCTAGATCTCTTCCATGTTGGACCAGTTCCTCAGCTATAATTCACAGCAAAACCTTTCCTCAGTTCATCTGTGCCTTTCGGAAAATATTCAATTGTCATTTGCTTTCTACAATTGTTTTCTTCGTCTATTAGTAGCGGCTTTGATATTAAATCAAAAGCCGAAAGATGATGATAACGCTGCATTGCAAAATGATTCTCAATATTAATTTCTTTATCATTTTTCAAATTTTTGTGAACATCTTCCACGTTTAATTCTGGTGATTTAACTTCTTCTTCAAATACATCTCTGGATGCTTTATTTTCTTCCTTCATCGGTTCCAAGATCTGCTCTTCAATCGCTATTTAGATATTTCTGTTTTCCCTTTGAGCTCTAGTAGAAACGGCATTAAAATGGTATCACTAAGTTTTACATTCACGTGAATAAACTAATAAAACTAAGGCAGTTCAGTGTAAACAGGAAGTAATAACCTGATATCACTAATATTACGTTCAGTGATGAACTAATAAAATAAAGTAATTCAATATTAACAGGAAGTAATAACCTGGTATCACTAATATTATGATCAGTGATGAACTAATAAAATAAGACAATTCAATATCAACAGGAAGTTACGTTCAGTGATGAACTAATACAATAACGCAATTCAATATCAACAGGAAGTTACGTTCAGTGATGAACTAATAAAATAAGGCAATTTAATATCAACAGGAAGTAATAATCTGGTATCACTAATATTACGTTCAGTGATGAACTAATAAAATAAAAATACGCACGATTATTCGATCTCGTCGGTGCCTCCAAAATAATTATGACTGTGATACTTCTTTGGCGATATGAAGCAACTCCAATGATGGAACACAGCAATAACTTTTATTTAACACTCAAAAATGGCGACATACAAACAAGAAGAGAAAACATATTCTATCATTTAAAATTAAATTACATTCTTCGTGCGAGAGTCGCACGTGTCACTCGAGTCTGGTTTCAAATATTGCCATTCACAAATACCTTAATGTTCATCTATTTAAGTTATTTAAACTACAAGATTTTAATATTATTTAAATCTGTTACAACCTTAGCCAGTGAACTGCAGTTTCCTTTTTTTACTGATTCCCCACTGCATGGAAGAAAAAAAAAAAAAAAAAAAAAGCAAATTTTTATTTAATTGCTTTCCCCTCTCGAAACTAATGAAAGAATGTTGGGGCATTGTAAATTAAATGTCACCTAAAGTACAAGGCACATACTCTTAGAGCATGGGGGTAGATGAGAAGAGTCATTAGAGATCAGTAAGAAATAAATTGGTCTTTAGGGGAATTCTTAAAATCTTAATATTAAAAAGGAAATAAAAATCTAAAATTTCATCCATAATTTTAGCTAACCTATTTCTTTCTTTAATATAGAGGGTATCCAGGACAGAACTGTTCCTAAACCATTGGTGCCAGCATGCTTTAAGATTACCACGCCCAAATTTAAAAAAAAAAAAATCTAAATGAGTAATAAAATTTTTATTTCATACTCAGTAAGTACTTACATATGACAAGTACTTTCATGAATTACCATGAATATGATGAATTAAAAATATTTAGTCATGGTATCGCAAGAGTTTGGCTACCCCAGATTTTCGCCGCCTGCGCCCCTGCTAGGAACAGCCCTGGTCTAGGAAAGAAGTAGTGAAAATGAATGACATATGTGAAGTCATTGTATTCATTGCATTTTGGTTTATATAGCTAGAACAAGGCTCATACCGTCCTTAGCTTTTTTTAAATTGCTTTTTGGTCCTTAACCCATTCCCAACCATGTATCTCAGTCACCAAACCACTCTCTTGGAACGACACGCTAACCAGATGCATTGTCTTATGGGGATTATTAGCATTTCACTCTGCTAAGCCTAACTTTGGGAAAAAATTGCATAAATTAAATTTGTTTTTCAAGGGCTCCTATCAGGAGCACTAATGTAGTTATCAGAATAAATTTAAAAACTTTATCATTATATTTTCCTTAAAAATTTTACAAAATAATTAATTCTAGAGTAATATACAGGGTTGCCATGCTACCCGGAAAAATTCAAGGAATTCAAAAATTGACCGAAAAGGTCGTTGCACTAGTGCATAAGCATGAGCGTCATTTGGACGGCTGGCGTGGAGCCAGTTTTTCCTCATCTCCATTCAAATTGTCTTTTAGAAATGCAGAGTAAGTTTCCAGCAACTTTGGTTTCTCATAACCTCGATAATCAAGAGATTTGCATGCGTATGTGCAGTGCATGTTGAACTAAAGAAAATACCTTCACATTCGTGTATAAAACAAAATCGGTTTAATCCTTGTGTATAGTATACACGAGATTTGACGGCATTATGATGAGCAGTAAACGGGTCAGTTTGGTGTTGGTAACAATTTTCAAAATTGTGCGAAGGCCATATGTAGCGTATACTACGATTTTACCACAAAATCTTTTGAATATTTTTTTTTTTCCTTTTTAATAAATGCCTTGTCACTTTGCAGTAAAATAATTTTTTTTTTAAAAATCAGTCCTAGACTAACCGTTTAATATAACTATATTCAACAAAATATCATTGATTATTGTAATTCAGTTTTTAAGTAATTAACTTTATTGTAATGCTATTCATACCATTTAATATGGCTTCCTCTATCTTAAATTTATTTATTATTAGTTAATAATATTTTCAAATTTCAGGCAATTTTCTCTGGCATAATCCTGAAATAAATTCTAGCACATATTATCATGAAATTTAATGCACAGATTTTTGCTTATGTATGCTGCTAAATAGATATAAAATACCTGAATACAATATTTTTTTTTCCTTCAGAATATTGAATCATTATTATCTTCAATGAATGCTACTTCTGTTTTGTCTTTATTTTCAAAAAAGTAATAGTGTCTTTTTATTTTTAATTAGTTTATTTAATTTATTTGCTTTTAGATGGTTGAAGAAGAAGCCAAAAAAGAACTTATGGAACAGCAAGAAGTCCAGAATCCATCCGATTTAGTTAACACAGATGACGAAAATGACGAAGCTGCATACGAATCTTGGAAACTTCGTGAGTTGAAGCGCATAAAACGTGACAAAGATGTAAAAGAAGCGTAAGTATTGTTTTTTAAATTGTACTTCAAGATTTCAGAGGTTGAAATATCAAAATAGGCATATAACTATTCTTTCCAAATCTGAGTTCATACGTAGGCAGCTTTGCAGTTGGCCATGTTGCCTCGTTTATTATTGGAGCTCACATGGCGAGTAAATGACTATAACATCTGAAAATTTATTGCCATATATTATTGGTTTTAATTTATTGCCGTGCTGTGCCAGAGAAAGTTTATAATATTGCACAAAGTCCAAGATCTGAATTAGTCGGTACTTTGGCAATTTCAGATTTCTGAGATTTCTAGATTTTAGATCATCAGGTTAAATACACTAAGGTAACATGTAGAAATTATGAAATTAAAAATATTCATTATTAATGTTTCTGTAAGAAAGAGGTATTTTGCATAAAGAAAGGATTTTTCACTGAATTACTACCATGTAAAATATGATTTGAAGGCAAGATATCAATATTTTCTGGATTTGAAATTATACTACATGTATTCACTATTTTATTAATTGACTGATAATTGGAGCATTATCATCACCAAGCAAAACGTCCTTTATATCATCTTCAGTTAGGATTTCTTCTCATATTCATTAATCAGAACATTTTGTTTTCTATTTGTCATACATGAAAACCTTGTGACTCGCGGCTTTCAGCATTATCATAAAAACTCGTAGCTGACCATAAATTAAGCAAAATATCTGAAGGCATGCTCTTTCATGAACATTCAGATCACACATCAGATTTTATATATTAAAATATTTCTGAAATTCATAGCTGGTCTTACTAGTGCATCAGTGTTTATTCATAGCTGGTCTTACTAGTGCATCAGTGTTTGTTAAGCTGCTTTGTATATGCATTTCAGTGCATGCAAAACTCTGATATCCATTTGCTGATTGACAGATGTATAGTTTGTAAACAACAGAAACTCGGAGATGTTAACTAAACTCTTGTTTTAATAAGATTAATGATAATAGATGGAATAAAATAATAAGACAAAATAATAACATGATATTCAAACATACTCTTTAGCTTTTGAAATTTTTGAAAGGAATATTGCATATTTGGATTTACTGCTAACTTTCACTTCAAAAGATGTATTAATGTCAGCTATGCTGGTGACCTTTACAATGTTTTGCTATGAGAATATATTAGTTTTATGCAAAAGCTATTTAGATTCACCATCTGGGCATCTATCTACCTGCATGGAGGGATATTATTATCTCTGTCAAGCGTGTTAGTTTAATAAAGCATTCTGTTTTGAAATTTGGAATATGCAAAGTAGAGTTTTTAAATTCATTCTTTTAGAACTTGATCTTAAAATTTTGTTTATTTATTGTATTCCTGCACCTCTATACAGATAAATATTCAAATTAAAATTATTTTTTGTGTTCAATCTTAGCAAAAACACACCAAGAAGTTAACTCAGTATAATTATTTACCATTTATTTTGCATCATAAAAGTATTAAAACATAGAAAAATTTTGAAAAAAATCTCTGTAGAATCTGTTATGGTGTGTTGCATGTCTTTTAAATTTTGTCTTGTTGAATAACTTTTGCTCAGAAAGTAAAAAAAAAAATGAAAGTTTAGTTAAGAAGTCAAAATATTTAGATTTTTTAAAAATTTATACAGTATCTTGCACCTTTTTTAATTTTTAAGGCTATTTAAATATACTTTTCTTTCTTTTTAAAAAATAGATATGAAAAGGACAGAATGGAAATAGAGAGACTGCATAATATGACTGAGGAAGAAAGACGTGCAGAACAGAGAGCTAATCCTCGTATAGTGACAAACAAAGCTGCTAAAGGGAAATACAAATTTTTGCAGAAATACTATCATCGTGGTGTATTTTTCTTGGTAATGGTTTTGAATATTTTTTATGACTTTGCGTTGTTTATAATCTTAAAATTGTCACGTTTTTATGTTAGGTCTTTTAGCTGGACCTTTCTGAACGTTTTGTCCACTATACAATGTTAAAGTTCAAAAATTGTAAACACTATATATGCTTATACATAGCTGCTAATGCTCCCAGTTTTTCATTGCAATTTCTGGTCTCCCTGTAAATTGCATAATCTGGTTTTTAATTTTTAGCTTTTACTAAGAAAAATGTTTTCCAGCAATAAATCAAATTTATTCAATGAATGAAACTTAAATTATGCAAATTTTATTCCTCAATCCCCTAGTGATTTTCAAAACAGTTTTTCTTGTTTAAATTTTATTTCATCTGAACTGTATTTTTTTTCCTTATTATATTTTATTGTCCTTTTTCATATTAATTTTCCTTTTATCTGAGTTCCCATAAACTACTGCAGCCATTTGTAGATTTTTCTATGCAGATTCAACCAATGTTTAATCTGTTAATTATTTGTATATATTTTACTTCATTATATATGGTACACCTTGCACACACACACACACAAAAAAAAAATGTTCAGTTCTATATTTTTTCTACTGGGTCGATTGATGAAATTTAATTTGCGTGCATATGATGCCGTTGATTACAAATTCGAGAGATTACTTTTAATTTTAGTTCTGAAGGTAGATGATATCTTTTAAGGCATATGAACAATTCTCAATATGTTTTAACGTTTTCTTTTTTTCTAGTATAATTTTTAATGTCTTTCAGAACTTTTGATTCAGAATACACAGCTATTGGAAAGAGTAGTGTTTAACATGGCTTTGAAGAAATTCTGCCCACTTTCTTTCATTATCTTGAAAACATTCTCAGAATTGCAGTTTTTTTTTTTCCAGTAATTTCAGAATTTGTTGGCTTAGGTAAAAGTCCTGTGCCCTCTCTACTTTCTATTCCCTTTCTTAGTAAATTTAGCAAATTAGTTTTCCAATATTAATTTTATTATTATTTAATGTTTACTTTTTTGGAGGAAAAGAGGGTAATTTATTTATTTATTTTTTTTATATTTGTCTTTATACTATAAAATTCTGATCTGTTTCTTTTAATGAAGTTTAAAAGTTTCACTAATATATATTTTCTATTTGAAGGATAATGATGATGAAATATATCGAAGAGATTTCTCTGCTCCAACCCTTGAAGATCATTTTGATAAAACCATTCTTCCTAAAGTCATGCAGGTATGTATGCTATCAATATCCCATATACTTACTTTTATTTTTCTTTGAGTAAATAAACCATTTTATTTGTTTGCCCTAGTTTCAGCATTTCTCTCCAGATTTTAAGTATGTTCAGATTTATACTGAGTAGCAGCCAATACATGTTCTATGTTTATACATTCTCAAGAACGTGAATGTAGCTTTTACAAGTCAGGCACAGTACAATTATGTGTTTGTTTTTTCATTTTTGAGCTTGACATGCTCTGTGCTAATATTTCATTCTCTCTATATTCAAATCAGGGACTGTTAATTATTATGTTTTGTTAATTAAACAAAAATAATAATTGTATACTGTGGTTAAAATTGTGTTAATGGAGGAAAAAAGGAATTATGCAAACAATTTATGTTGATATCCGTTTTTAGCCTATTATGCTCGTTTACTATAAATTAAAAGTACATACATGAAACTTTATTCTTAAAAATGTTATATTTATCAAACTTTGTTTTTGAAGGTATTTATAAAAAAGAACTTAATAGTTAATGTGCCTATGGCTCTGAAGGGATATGTATTTTTCTTTTTTTGGTTTTTGTGATCATGTTTGTGGTATTTATTAAATATTTTGCTTTTGTGATTTGAAATAAAGTAAGTTATCTCATTTTATTTTGTGCTTTTTATTTATTTAGTTTGATTTTTGAACCAAAATAGAAAAAAATGCTTATATTTAGTTGACTAATTAACAAAACTGCAATTAAATACTGGATCTCCTCCCCCCCCCATAGTTTTTTCGTTATATAATTTAGAAACTTCTGATTTATGGTAACAATGTGTAAAATCTGCCCACAAATAATAAAGTACTTTTTGTAAGCAAAAGAGAGTGTTATTATAATTCACAAGTCCTTTGAAATACATATAATAATACTAACATGTCTTTATATTTATCATTAAGTTGTCTTTTCAGAAATAGAAAAAATTATGTATTTTTCCTCTCTCAGTTTTCAAGGGGTAAAAGTAGTAAGTAAAGGGGGGATATGTAAATAAATATGGTATTTCTTTTATAGATGTAAACTTTTTTCCTGGTTTAGTGAAATGCAATATTTTTCTTTTGGTACTTTATGCATTTACACTGAAGAGCCAAAACATTGACCATGTACTCAATAATACATTACACTACCTCTGGCCTGCAAAACAGCTGCGACTTGCCTTGGCATGGATGTCGCAATTTCTTGGCAAATGACTGGAGACAGGTTCTGCCAGATGTTTAAGCAGCGGTCATGCAAAGTCAAGATATTCCGACATGACGGTGTTTGAGCTGCTGCTCCATGACACCCTAAATTTGCTCTATTGGGTTAAGATTCAGGAAATTATGTGGCTAGGACATTAATTTGAATTCATCATTATACCCCTCGAACCTCTCCAACACAGTTCGAGCCTGGTGACATCGGGCATTATCCTGCAGGAAGATCCCATTTCCAGTTGAGAAGACAAATGCCATGTAAGGGTGCAAATGATCCACAATTATCGTCATATAGTCTGTCTCTTTCATGGTCAGTTCTACCACAACTAAGGCCTCTTAAAGCAGAAAACCACTGCCACCAACCTGTATATGACCTACTGTAAAGGAAGGGGGAGCAACTGTTTGCTTGGAAGATGGTATACTATGGCACGGCCATCAACATGACAAATGAGAAATCATGATTCATCTGACCAGGCAACTGCCTTTCACTTATCGATGGTCCAGTCTCCATGTTCCCGAGCCCACTGTAGGCATAGTTGACAATGATGCTTGGTCAACAGAGGCTCATGAGTGGGACATCTGCTGCACAGTCCCATATCAACTGTGCTTTCTGAAACACACTTGGGCATGCATTGTATTAGGCTGTCAGCTGAGCCACAGCCTAGAGCTGATTTTGCTGTACCAAGCGAGACAGTGTCCGACATGCTTTTTTGTTTGATGACACGACACATAGACATCTAACACCTGGACATCTACTGCTAGTTTCACCATCATTTATCCACTTTGCATAAATACTAACAACGTCTGATCATGAACAACCTACCAGTCATGCAGTTACAGGGGTACTTGTTTCAAGTCTTTAGGCCATCACAATCTATCTTCTATCAAATTTGATGAGATCAGCAGCCTTTCCCATCACTCACAAAAGTGCAAGAATGATTCCTTACCTTCTCCAGCAGTAGTTAAACACCATGCCTACTTATTCATGTCTCCTCCACATCATCCAGATGAGTTCATTGAAAAATTTTGGGATGGTCACAATGTTTTGGCTCGTCACTGTAACCTGTATTTTAAAATCCTTAAGCAATTACTGGTATTATTAAATTTTATATTAGTGAAAAATTTATTAATTTCTTTGAATTTTATTGTTAATATGACAATTCGAGATTGTTTTTGATGTTTTGAAAATGCTCAAAGATATAGCATATTTTAAAAATTTTCTAGGTTAAAAACTTTGGACGATCTGGACGAACCAAATATACTCACTTGGTTGATCAAGATACAACTATATTTGATTCACCATGGATGGCTGAAACTGCTCAGAATATCAAATTCCACCATAATCAAGCTGGTGGCATGAAGCAAGTTTTTGACCGTCCATCAGCAAAAAAAAGGAAGAAGTAAATTTATATTTTATTCTTGTGGCCTTGTATATACTGAAGCTGGACTTTATTATTATTGTAAATAAATATTAAGCCCTTTATAAGACTTTCTGTATTTCTTCTTTTCATATTTAGATTAAAATGTACATATAATTTCATTCAATAAAATGAGTTATTTTATTTGTTCATACTTTCTTTAAGTTTACCTTTCTATAAATATTTTTGAATTCCTCTGTTTATTTTTGGTTCAACGATGGAAGTTATGTTCATCTGTGGATTGCAAGTTGCTTTATCTGCTCTTCAAAATATTGCTCAAAATTTTTTAAATTTTAAGTTAAGATTGCTATGAAGAATATGTAGGTATTAAATTGGAATTGCAGGAAAATTTTTGTGCTCTTGAAGAAGCCTGACCTCTGAAATCAATAAAATTTTATTCAAAATCAAATAAAAATAAAAATTGCTGTTCTGCATAATTGTAAGTAATATCAAAGAATGCTATAGTAATATTTCATTAGAAGGGAGTTTAATTATGATTGACTTGATTTAAATCTAAAAAATGGACTTGTAAAATTAATTCCGACATCTCAGTAGATCATTGAGAGGGTGATTATTTCAAAGTTTTATATCCTGTAAGTTTGCCATAGCAGCGAAATTTTGTACTATTTTTATTTATAAATTCACATTTTGTCTGATCAACCTATGCTATTTTATAAGAGCACAATTTTCATTTAACCATCCGAGCGCTATGGGTTTAGCCCTGAAATTTCAAAGTTCCTCAAAATGTCATGAATAAGTGGTATTTTCTTGATTTTAATTAAAAGATTGCTTTTTCACTTTGTACCTTGATTCCTTTTCTTCCAATATACATAATAACCAAAATCGGATACATTAAAATCTAGGAGAAATTTTCATGTGTAAGGAATAAAGAAGCCAGCCTTCTATATGAAATTTTTTGCCTGTAACGCTGAGAGGGTTAAAATGATAGTTTTTTTTTTTTTTTTTAAATTTACACATAGTACATACGTTACATACATATGCATACAATATTTCTTTTATTAAGTACATTTTTAAATTTAAGAAATGGAATATTTGGCATCAAAACTATTTTTTGGCACTGAAAAACATCAGGGGAGGATTTCACATGACTTGCAAAAATTGATAATTTTTTTCATATTCCAGAAGTCTAGTAGGACAGAAATGTAATTTTATCATGGCTTAAATTATGGAATGAATTTTGGAATAAAATTATTTTGCAGTGTGTAAAAATAACTTACCATAAAGTACAGTGTGTACTTACCATAAATTTTAATGAATAGCATGGAAGTTATTTAAATATGGAAGAGAATCTAACAATTCTAATATAAGTAATCAAATATTATTAATAAGAGCAGTAAAATAATTTATAACACTAGAAACAAAAAATATTATTAGCAAAAAATATTTTGTATATAATATCAATTAATGAAAAAAATCTAATGTGTACACCACATGACTTCCATGTACAGAATATTAAATTATACGCATTTTTTTCTTGAATTTCATTTAAATTGATTGGATTGAATTAAATCTACTTCGTCGACAGTGCATAAACCACAATAGAATAAATGCACTCTTTAAAATTCACTATATTTGTTTACTATGACGACACTCTGAATGCGTAAAATTTATATCATTTGAAGAATTATCGTTGCCACATGTTCTATTCAAATACTATAATAAAGCAAAAATGATGTATGAAAGAAATTAAGCAAACGAAACAGAAAAGCACAGTTTTTCACAGACGATTTAGTATTTCTCATTCAATTAATTCAGTTCTCACTTCGCGACAAGGCAAAGATACATAAAAAACTCAAAATATCTGCATTAAAAATTACGAAGTAGATCTTAAACACTTATTTCCTCGAAAAAATTCCAGAAAGGATTAAGCATGATTTAATTCGCAATAATAAATGAAGACATTATTTTTGTGTTGCGAAGCTTAGTCTCTCTAGATTGGCAACAAATCTACAATTCTGCTGTTTCAAATGTAAACAAATATGTCCGCCATGTGATTTGAAACTTAACCACACTTAAACAGCTTTTAAATTGTTGATAATTGTACAAATGTTGCTTCCAGGATTACAAAAGGCATAAAAACCTTAACCGGAAGATAAAAACAACATAATTCAATCATTTTTAAAGCAAAAAATGTACAATTTACAAACATATGAAAATAAAGAAACTGAGATCACTGAGCCGGGTGACAGAGTGGATATATATATATAAATCTATTCCTATATGTTTGGTGCGGCCGATTGCAAGCAAAATACAAGGTGCACATCTTCATGTTATAGCAGTTCTATATACAAAATTTCAGCATTCTGAGGCTACTCGTTTTTGAGTTATGCGAGATATGTACGTACGCACGTGTGTACATACGTTCGTTCAGACACCACGAAAAATTCTCTTCAAAATTAATTTCAAAGCAGTTTTATAATTTTTTTGGAGGAAAAGAGTCTTTTATTCTTTCCTTACGTACAGATATCACACGAAAACATTATTAAATTGTATTTGATAGCGGTCAAAACGGATATTTTCATTGAAATATGTTGCCTGAAACTTTTCGCAATTACAATACTTCCTTTTTACTTCGTACAAGAAGTAAAAAACAAATTTATTAACTGAATGTTTTCAAAATGTGATCGTAAAAACATAATGGAATTTATGGAACTGACATTAAACATGGAACATATTTATGTGCACAGATTACTTGCAGTTGAAAATGCTCTTCCTGCATCCACCAGTGGCCAAACAGTAAAGTTGCTGAACATTGGTAGTTCGGACCAAGGTTCGAATCCCGCAAATGGGCTGTCTGCATGAGCACTTTATGTGGTTTTCCCCATGTGTGATATGTATATTAGCCAGTTTCCCTTAGAAAGTCCTCCACGAAGGTATCCTTCCTCTTAGACAGATAGCCCTAGAGGCTTTGCTGTAATCACATAAATCAATCTAAACCTTCATCTGCTAAAAACTTGATCTGTCATTTAAAGGTTTTGGTTAAATCTGTTTTTTGTATTACATAAGTATTGCTGTTTGTGGCAATTTTTTTATTTGCAGTAATTGCAAGCTCTTCTTAAGAGACTTTTCCAATATTAACATTAACATCATCTTCAACGAATCCCTTTGCATAGTCCTGCGTTTGATTTTCATAAATGTTTTTTTGCTAATTTACGATGAACTTAAGTTTGACCTTGTTAGCCTTTTTTTCTTCCTTTTCATTTTGTTAATGTAATTATGACGACATAATTATGTTATTTGTCAGATAATTATGTAAATACCTCAAAATTTTTTCTAGTTCACTATGCCTTTCTTTTCAAAGCACTGTATAATTCCTCAGATAGTGGCATGTATCTTAACAAATACTGGTTTCGTGAAACTGCAAAAAGCCAGTATTCTGTTTACCTGTGTACCAGTATTGCAATCACTAGCGATAACATTTAGTAGCAACTGCCTTTATCTGAAAAGTGAAGAAGTGAAGTTTGTGACAAATAACACCTCTGGTGCTGATAAGTATTTTGTGAAAATAATCATAATTTGTTCAAAAAGTACAAAATAATACTTAATGTAATAGTCAATAAACTCAAATTTATGAAATAGTTGAAATAATTCACAGCTATGAAAGTTTCCAACAAAGCAATTTCCTTTGTGAAGAAAAAGGAACTTCACAAGAAATTTGATGGGATAGAAGCTTTAAAAATATACAGGAGTTATAGTTTTTGTTTGTTTGGTATGTGTGTGTCTGAATCTATAAATGAAATTGTACATACTTTTTTAGTGAAGTTATAAATGTATAATTTATTTAGATTGATTTAAGGAAAAAATGTTGTTTTGTATTGTGAACAGCTGAATTTTATACTGTGGGCATTTAAATTAATTATATTTGACAGAGTAAGGGAATAATATCTACTGCAGGGTAAAAAAAAAAAAAAAAAAAAAAAAAACTATAACAATAAACTATGTAGTGATAAAAATTTCACATTGTATCTTTTAAGGCTATTTTATGTAAAATTTTTGTAATCAGGGAAAGATATAGGAAAAAAAAAAAAAAAAAAGCATGAAAAATAGGAAGAAGTTATTTTATAGAGTGTGATGAAATATTTAACATAAAAATGGAATAAGCTAAAATTTTCATTTTCTAAAAATTTGTAAATATGGAAAATTTGTTCATTCCTGCAAAGTTTTGTGTATGATGAATCTTGTGCATCTTTACAAATTGACTGTAAAGTAGATCTGTGTCATAATACAAAGCATGAGTTTTATCAGATTGTTATCAGTTTCAATATTTAACATATAAGATTTTATGTTAATAATCTAATTTAAAAATCAGGACATGAATATTAAAATTAGTACTGTGGATGATAATAATCACACATTAAGAGATAAGATTATAAGTAGTAAGAGATAAAACATGCTAAGTATGAAATGGCCAAACTTGAAGTGTTAGAATCTGGTAGTTTGAAATAGATTTGTTATAGACTGCAAAGTTTCACAAGTTTTAAAAAATTTGAAATCAGAGACTAATAACCACTAGGTCATAAATTTGATTTTTTCCCTTGTTTTTATTTAGATATTATTACTTTTTTTTTTTTTTTTTTTTTTTGTAGAACCTGAAAAATAAAAATCCAATAAAACTTTGTGTCAAGGAGAGGTTATTTTTTGATTTACCTTATTTGATTAAGAAATTAACTTTTTGTGGATACTTTCAGGCAGAGAACATATTTTGATAAATGAATGAAGTATATTGTTAGTAACTAAGGTAATTAAATACTTACAAACATTTTTTTCACTACCTCTTAGTGGAAATGTTCACTTTGCTGTGCTGTATACACATACATTTTTTACTTCACAAAGATTGACACCAAGACTGTGATGTTACCCAAAAAGGTATTAATGCAGTAATACTGACCCAGGCTTCATCTTTCAGTCATAATGAATATCTTTGAGAATTCTGTACATTTTAGGGTAATTTATACCCAAGATTTGATGAAGACATCCCTTTTTATCTTTGCTTCAAAGTTTTAAGAATGAAATTTCCAAGGAAAGCAGTTGACCTTATAGAGCTTTACTGGGGTGCGTGAGGCATTTGCCTTAGTTAAACATAAAAGAGTCACAATATTTAAATAATATGACAAATATTAAGTTAAAGGCT